CCCCGGTAGCATCCCCCAAGTGACGTCATCGTTAAAGCTAATTCTTTTCATTTATTGATTCAGTCCTGAACTAAAGCATTTTAATGAATACCTTTAACTAGGTATTAATATTATATGTGTATACTGATAAGCGTCAGGATACGGTAAATGTCAATTGTTTATATTAATCTTTTAGAAGCAATAACATGGGCGGATACAGCTTTTTTGAAAAGGGGGGTGCACAATTAAGATCTATTTATTGTCTTTGGTGGTAATTTATACAGAAATAAAGATTTGTTTCGAAATAAAAAAGGGGGGGGGTGATTGGTGCGCACCCCCCACCCCCACCCCACCCCACTCGCTGTATCCGCCCATGAATAATAAAACTTTGGGAATGATTATGCATGTCCGTTTATGTTCATCGCGTTATTTTGAACCTTTTTGTTTCACATGAATAATTAAGTAGAACAGGAACAATGGCAGCTTTTTCAAGAAATGTAATGCTTGTTAACCTCTTATAGCTGTGTAATATAGCAATACACATATAGGTCATGTGTTTTACCTGTCTCCTGGCCGCCATTTTGTAATATATACGAGGTTGCATTTTATATGTTTTATTTCGTATCCTGACCTTGGGTATGCTTAGTTAACACTGGTTAACTCAGGCTGAATCTTGTCAGCCCTGCTTGCCAGACATGTTGTTTTGTTTTTGTTTGTTTGTTTGTTGTTTTAACGCCGCACTCAGCAATATTCCAGCTAAATGGTAACACAGGTTGACTCATTTGGCTCGAATTTTAACAATTGGACACACGTTGTGGTAACGTGATTTTTTAATATATATCTATGGCTAAGAATTATAACTACATAATTGATAGTACTGCACATCCTGTTTTTATTGATCGGGTGATAATATATGAACATAGCTGTAGTTGAGTTATTTTCTGTTTCACAGTGTATTAAATAGCAATATCCTAAAAAAATCATCACCATTTCCATTTACGTTGGCGCCAGAGCGGTATACACTTATTCGTGAACATTTAACCCGCGCTTATCGGAGCCTTTTACACATGTATTTAAAAGGTTATGTCAGCGTGGATAGCTCTTTGAGTACATTTATAATGAAATATATGAAATCTTGCTCTTAGGCTGAAGGGTCGTCGATATGAACTGAAATGAATCACAAGGTCGTCGAAAATAACCCAGCTGTCGATTGTGTCTGCTGTGGACATAATATATTACTTCGAATTCTTCAAGACATATATTTGTATATAGAAATGACAAACGGCAGGTAAATATGATAATTTAGAACCTACAATGGTGAAATTGCCACATCAATAAACTACATATGTTGCCGTGTGCAACGTTGCGAGTTATTGATGACGTGGTATTAATGTATACATCACGTTGAGAGAACGATGAATGCATGTGAAACGACATTGTGATTTAGGTTAAAAAACATGATATATTATATTCTTGCAAAGATAACTGATGGGAAATATATATTAATACTTCGTCAGATTCAGGGTACGGATATGACGTTCGTCTCTGAAAAAATAATATTGATCCTCCATTCCATATATACACGGTCATGATGTCAATCACTGGATTGTCTGGTCCAGACTAGATTATTTACAGACTGCCGTCATATAGCTGGAAGATTGCTGAGTGCGGCGCTAACAACAAACAAACAAACAAACATATATACACGTGAGAAAAGGTACTACTTATTTTCATATGTCCCGAATTCAATGTTTCTTTTGGTTTTGGATTTATCTACATAAGAAATATGAGGGGGGGGGGGGGGGTAGCGGAATACAGCGGGACTAACTTATTGTTCTGCTTTATTTACCAATTTAGTGTTCAAATCGAAAAAAATCTATGATACTGTATACCAGATCATCATATTCACATTTATATGATAACGACAGTCGTCATAAAATCTGATATTGCCCTCGTTAACGAATAAAAATACTGTCTACTTAATGTCTCTGTGGTCTGGCAATTGCTGTACAGTATGTTCACGGGTGATCAGAATTGCAGATGTGCATTGCCTGCCATTCGCTCGAACCTTTCTGTGTATGTATTTCGAGTAGAATGTGTATAGTTCCCGATAGGAAGGCTAAGCACTGATTTTATTGGTGTAGACCCCACCATGTTAGGACCTAGGAGGGGTCATTTTATTTAATAGATAATTTGTTAACTATCAGTTTCATAATTTGTGGGGGGGGGGGAAACAAATTTACTCCTAATAGAATAACGCAGCGCTATAAACTTGATCATACATGCAGCTGAACCAGCCTCTGTAATCTCCCGTTACAGTATTCCATATGCTGCCTCGAAGTTCAGTGGAGACTAGATAATTCCCCAATTACATATTGCAGCAAGTTAAGTCTTATTGTTAACGATAAAATGACACAAGGCTGGAATGACGGGAGCGGGGATCTAATTGTTGTTTACTGCCCTGGTGGTCTATAAAATGCCCATGATTATCGTGATTACCGGGTAATTATCGTCAGGTTGCGGAAACTGTAGAAGAAACACAGATAATGTGCTGCAATTACTTCAGCCTACAGTTGGTCGTAGCTGTTGGTTAAGTCACGGAAACTGGTAGCCTCTGATTTGTTATAGTAATATATATGTTGTAAAGGAAATAACTGCATTATGATTTTTGATATGGGATGAGATATATCAAGTTTAATTTTTACCTTTGATGAATAATTAAACGTCTTTAGTCGTTTTCAATAAAACTATTATTAAATAGTCTTAGCGGAAAGTTGAAGTCGTTCCTCTTGTCATACAGTCTTGTGGAGGGTTTGTTTATGCATGCAATTAAAATTGGAGGGCTATTTGAGTCTCACCTCACTTTAAAAAGAAAACACTATAATGTGATATAAAATGAGTCACTCATTTTGGAGTTATTATAGAGAATAAAAGTATATACAAATCATATTATTTTTAAACTTTCAAATGAAATATGGAATAAATTTACATAAAATAAAGAAACTAGAAATTATGAATACTTTAACTCTGATGTAACTGATGGGCATCACTGTCAGATAGTATTTCAATCAGTTTATTCGTGTCAAATCGTGTCACATGCATATGACCTGTGGTTGGTTGGTTGGTTGGTTGGTTTGTTGTTTAACGCCACACTCAGCAATATTCCAGCTATATGACGGCGGTCTGTAAATAATCGAGTCTGGACCAGACAATCCAGTGATTGACATCATGAGCATCGATCCACGCAATTGGGATCGATGACATGCATCAACCAAGTCAGCGAGCCAAGACCACCCGATCCCGTTAGTCGCATTTTACGACAAGTATGGGTTGCTGAAGACCTATTCTACCCCGGAATCTTCACGGGTCCATATGACCTGTGATACGACCAGCAATGTCTGTGTCGACAAAGAGAAGGATATGGAAGTCTTTGTGAATTTTTACTCTTTGAAATGTAGGATGTCTACGACTTTACACATGCTAAAGCCTTTAAATGAATTCATAATAGCGGATAAAAGTGACATCTTGACTATTTGATTTTTCACGTTTTCTCCTTTAGGTTTATATTTATATTTTACCAGAAACCTGAATAGAAAGAAAGAAGGGGCGGTGGTGTAGCCTAGTGGTTAAAGCGTTCGCTCGCCACGCCGAAGTCCTGGGTTCGATTCCCAACATGGGTACAATGTGTGAAGCCCATTTCTGGTGTCCCCGCCATGATATTACTGGAATGTTGCTAAAAGCGGTGTAAAACAATACCGATCAACTAATTCACTCATTCACTGAATGTAACGAATATTGGCTGTCCTTTATCGTGTTGTGCATGAAATTGCCTGACACCATACTGACGTTACAAGTTGACTCTATGTACGATTATGTGATGTGATGATGATGTTTGTTGGTTAACGCCGGACTCAGCAATATTCTAGCTATATGACGGTCGTCTGTAAATAATCGAGTCTGGACCAGACAACCCAGTGATTGACACCTTGAGCATCGATCCAGGCAATTGGGATACGATGACATGCATCAATCAAGTCAGCGAGCCTGACCCCCCCCCCCCCCCCCCCCCCCCCCCCCCCCCCCCCCCCCCCCCCCGATCCCGTTAGTCGCCTCACACATAGTATGGGTTGCTGAAGACCTTTTCTAACCCGGATCTTCACGGGGCCTGTAAAAATAGTAGTAGAGTCTAGTGGTAGTTTAATTATTGTAGTGGTAATATGTGATTGAGGCACATTAGTTAATCCACACAGTTTGACACGAATAAATATGTGCATGTACAATAACCACAAACATTGCTCAATAGAGCCGATATTTAAAATATCAAACTTTCAGTTTCGTACGAAAACACTGAAAATCGATAATGCGATATCATTTTTTAATGCATAAACAATAGATAGATCAACATTTATACCAAGCAGCAATTTCTATAGGATGTGTAACGGATATGATATCTATAGCTGGGCCGATTCCTTAACGCTATTCAACATATTATAGCTGCAATATCTTCGTAACTGAAGCGGCGGAGAAAATCACGAAACCAGAGTTACCAGACCTAATATTTCTGTAATTAGGCAAATTTTCTTAAGCTATGTCTATTTGTGCTTCCATTGCTACTTCCAAAGCCGTTTACCTCCCCTCCACATCTCGCATCCACAGCGTAAACCGAGATGCTCCCGTGCGCACCATCCTAACGCATGTTGCAATGCTCTTATTGATCTGTGTAAAATTGTTCCGCCCTTGTGACCGACGGCACAGTCGCTCCATCCGTTCATTCATTCACATCGGTCGGCGATGTTGATTCAAGGCTCTCGTTTTATTGTGGAAAGCTCATGGTTTTCTACGATGCTTCTACATTTATTGCAGTGATGTGCGTTGATTCAAATGCAGCGCTACCGAAAGGGTATAAATATTTACGGGGTGCAATTTGGGTGTACACCTCGCACCTGTCTTGTAGTTGTGTAGGAATGGTAAGCATGGTAAAGCTTTGTCAGAACTAATGATTTTCGTTTCCTTTGTCGCAGATTTGGCCTACAGTGCCAGAATTGAACACGCGGGAATGGATACGTTTTGACATTGGAGCAAGAGCTTTTCATAAAACGTGTGAGGTCAGGCGAGGGGATTCGTTTGGAAGCAGACGACAGAAGTGGGAATGCGAGCAGCGGTGGAATTTGTAAATACAGCGATGTTGTGTCGGCCGCGGCCTGGTGCTAGTACAGGTAGGATTCTCTACTCGTTGTGAATATGTGCGTCTGTTGATGATTAGTGGTTTGTATCATCCTTAACGTGGAAGGAAAACGGACGATTAAGATTCGTAAACATTGTTCTAATTATGGGCACTATTAGATTCGACCAGGCAAGATCAGCGTTCAGACACACCTGCTCTCACAGTGTTCAAGAGAAGAGGTCGTCTTGTGTTGGTGCGATCTTGTTCAGACCTTCATGATAATGAAAAGAATTGGTCTTATTTTGTAACTTTGCTCTACACGTAGATCTATAGATCTACATTCCCATTAAACGTACCCGAATGTGAGCTGCGTCTACTAACACAGTATTTAGGCTACCTTATTTTCGATGTCAGAGCAGAGTTAGGAATAACATCCACGCATGGTGGCCAAGGCTTGCCGGGCTTACAAGTACATGTACTCCAGTACCTGAGTACTAAGGCCCATTTCACCTAACACTTCATACATGATCGGAAAATTGCAGGTCTCGTAATTTGCAGTAAATGTTGGGATAGATTTTTTTCATCCATTTGAGCCTAGATCTAATATCAATGCTGCTGAAGGAAAAACTCCACAAAAACGTCATCATGATTATTCTGTACAGCTGTTGCTCAGTTGAATTTATGATTCATTAACAATTATATATTACTTCCAAACCTAGGATAGACAATCCTCGACTATATAAAGAAATATTACAAATATGTAAAAAAAAATTTTTATAGTTTCACATCTGTTTGTGAATGTTATTAAAGCACATTTCCCCCAATATTTTGTCTGCAAGAGCAGTTTAAACTGTTACTTGAAAAAAAACTGAAGTCTTTTTGCCATGTTCACAATAACAATTAATAAGCTTGTGCATTGAATAATCATTTTCTGATGGTAATAGACAGACACATGCACTTACATTATATATATATATATATATATATATATATATATATATATATATATATATATATATATATATAAAGATTTTAAACAGTAAACTATATATATTTTAGAGATATGAAGTCAAAAAAATATGTGGCAATTTTCATTTCTCATTTTTTACTCATCTCTGAGTTATAATCAAGCAATATCAAATGCATTCTTTCAGTCACAATAATAAGGATATTCTAAGTGTATTTCAAAGCCTAAGGGTTGATGCAGTTTGTGATTAAAAGGGCAAGGGAAACATCTTAGGACTATAGTGCCTAACTGGACTCTATGGTCAAATCACTAGAGCATTAAGCACCCAGCTGTCCCACACGTACAAGGGTGCTATTGTGCAGTTATGAATACTAGTATTCTTGCCTCAGTGTAGCATCAATTGGGAAGGAGGGGATGTTGTCTTTGAAGTTTCCCCCTGTACTATTTGAATTTAGGGTACCCCAAACCTCTTAACGCTAACATTAGGGTTACCACAAGGTCCCCTCGACCATGCTTTATTTTGGACACTGTATGGACTGTTGTTGAGCACACTACATTGTGCAGTACAGAAGTAGCTAGATTTTACTGGACTTATCACTAAAGTCACAGACTGCCAGTGTTTCTGGTAATCCAGTGTATAAATCTTTAAAGTTTTTATTTTACTTTTCTGGAATGTTTTTTAATACACCATCGTAAGGCTGAGCAAGGCAGTATTCCTAAATGCACTTGATACTGATAAGCAATATCCATGCCACTACAAATTGATAAACTATAATTGATGTCAACACTCACTGGGGGTAACCAGGCATTAAATATCATTTCCAGCTGTTTAAAGCCAATGGATACATCATACAGGGGCTAAGTGGCCAATGTCGGAGGGCAGTATTGAGTAACCTTTACTATGTTTATTAATAACAAGTCAGACAACCTGCTGCACTGGACAGTGTGTTTATGAGAGTTCTACCTGTCAGCATGGTCATTATTAGTGCTTGAAAATAAGGCTGAAAGTAATGGAATCTTGTCATAACCCTTATGTTAAAAAATGTATTTTAGGGGATCCGTAGATTGAAATAATAGCTCTTGGATTGAAATATTAGCGCAGTGTTGAAATTAAGGTTTCCTTAGAGTTGATCATGCTGATGCTATAGGGTATGATTCTAGGAACCCCCTAAATCTTTAGATTTTATTATTTTGGTATATGACAAGGACTCATTTACGATATGTATTTACATGCTTAATTTCAAACACTTTTAACAGCAAACCTCAAGAACCCCAAGACCCCTTAATTTCGTACAGCTGTCATATGAAAACAGAGTTTGAAATAATGTATGAAAGCCAAGGATCTTTGTCATACTTACAATGAGGATCCTAAGGTTTATATTGAGACTACAAGATTTAAGAGCTTCCTGATATTAAAATACTGTAGTGGAAAATCTCAAGGCCCCTTGAACATGTTTACCTCTTAATTTCTAACACTGTAACAATAAGGCATCTAAAATCTTCTATTCCCAGTCTCTTTTACTTGAACATTGAATAAATTGGGCTTATGTTATATAAAGAAGTATTAAAGAACCTTCTGATTTGTGTTGTCAAAACATTTATATGAAGGAAATTGCAATAATAAAATTGGAGTAAGTGAATTTAGATATTTTATCCAGTCAGTATTTTGAAATTTGTTCAACCGCTGCCAAATATTTTGGCAAGACCACTAGTTGGTGGGTAATAGTTCCAAGTTCTTTTGCAAGTTTCTTCTCTCAAGTATAGTGACATTCTCTCATTTTGTTTCTTGTGATAAAGATAATGTAATCAATTATCAAAGTCAGCGAACTAATCATATTCTATTCCAGACAAGTGGAATAATCATTAACATGATCATGACATCTGTAAATTCAGAATAGCATTAAGTCTTCATTTCCATGCATTAAAATTTAGTGTCACTTGGTGAAATATACATCATATAATGTATTTGTCATTTGCATGAAAAAATGTGTATCACAGTGATTTTGCTACAGACAAATTGGCAATAGGGCATTTTCATGATTTATCCACTCTATATCATTACAAAATATCATGTATGTTCAGAGCATTTTGAATGACATTCAGTCAGTGTCCTGGAAAATGAACAGATTTGAAATACTGTATTATAAACAGAATGAAAAGACTTCAGTCAGTCGTTGAAACAGAACAAAGTCTCTTTTTCATTTATCATGTTCAAATAACCTTGGTACAGTATTCCAATAAAATATGATGAAATCATTATTTTCAAACACACTGCTTCTTATTTCACATATTATTGAAATTCTCTGGTCCTCATGTACAAAGGAAACTCCAATATGATAAAAGCCTTATTTTCTTTATGAGCTATATCAATATGTTTATGTGTCTGATACTGATTATTTATCGACCTGTGAGCATCTAGTCATTAGAATGTTGATTAAGTGGTATTTTTGGCCCGTTCTTACCATAGGAATATTTTTCTGATATATGTTTTCATAACCTTTGTCTCTTTGAGCTGAGGATTATGTTTTTCAAGCATAATGTTTTGATCCCTACCACCTTCCTGTGTTGGACGTTTTTTTCTGACTTGTCCTGGAAACAATTTAATCTCCATCTAATGTTCAGACATCTGAAGCTTTAGGAAACCAAGTCTATGAGTAGTATCATGTCATCTTATGATTAGCGACTCATTGTGGCATTGTACCTTCCATCTTTGTACTTCACAGAGAGTAAAAAGGTATCAAGCACAGTTGTTTTGTTGGGAGGGAAGTTTGGCTCAATGATTTATGACTGTAATGTGACAGACCTGAGTATTTAATTCAAAAGACCTCATTAAAATACTGATGAAATGGTAATGAGCTTTGGCAAAGAATTTCCTTCAGTTTCTGACTCATGGCTTGATCATTACAAAACTGTATAAAAAAAGACAGCTTTTATGTTGGTCTGTTTTATCAGTAGAGGTATTCTTAACTTAAATTTTAGAGTTAAGAACTAAAACAAAAAAACTAGTGTATCATGTAATTTGTTCAGCTAATGTTAAATAATTACGCTGAAGAAAAATGTCTTGTAATCTCAGTCAAGGGATAAATGTGATATCAGGCATCTATTTTAATGCACAATAAGCTGCACACTCTGTTTGTGTTTTGAGTGATGTACACGACGATAAAAGGACTAAGCTGCAAGTTTTTTCTGGAACTTTGTACAAGACTTCCATCAGTTCCAGTTCAGTATTTGATGGAAGAAAATACCAGCCTTAGCAGGACATTGCCAGGCTAAATCACTAGTTTTTTCGCATTATCACATGGATTTGCTACTTTATTGGAAATCTGTAGTTCGGAGACTGTATGCCGGGTTTGATTCAAGATTGGAGGTTTTTAACTTGTTCGTAGCTCTCCGTATGCTATCACTATATCAAGTAGGGCTCCAGGCATGTTTTATTAAATCTATCACAAACGTGAATGCTATCCTAGGTAGTTGTTCTGGATATCAGGGAATACTGAAAGTGGTTGTGTCAGCTTTGAAGCACTCTCCAGTGAAATTTAGTGGCCCGTTCTACTGAAGTTGTTTTCACAGCAATGATGAATATCACTCTTTCAGTCACTGTGTTGAAATTTAAGTCAACCAATGTAGGATATTGGATGTAGGATTTAGCTAGGATTATTTATACTGTAGGTTTCTGAAATGACGCAAGTTCCAAATGATGTGCTGTTTCAGAAGGCTTGGTTGTGTTTCAATTTAAGCAGTTTCTTGAGTCCTTGGGGTTTGCTGTTAGTGTTACCGCCTCCTACTTAGGTCACTAATCCAAAGTTAATCATAATAATAATACATGGATTCTGTATCAAATATATTTTTGTTTACATTAATTATTTATTCTTTCTTTATCATGATAAATCTCTATCATGATAAATCATATTATGACCAGCTGATGATATATTGTCCCAGCCTCTATGATAAATCTGGGGTAGTGTTGTTGATTTTGACAACATGATCTCTCCCAAATCAAACCACTCACTTACCAACCCATTAAGTGAAGGGGGTAAAGGAGATATATTAACAAGTGAAAAAATCTCCTTTTCTCCCCCCTGTCACAAGATGAGAGAAACATAAAATTTCACAAGACACATGGAATAACCTATTTGTTATATACATTTTGTGTAGTTGTTTACTGGAAAATTAAATTATTTCATTACAAATGTAAAACCTTGAAACGTAAATTCTCCCTAACTGACACAGGGATGGTTCACCAACCCCTGTATTTGCAACTTAAAAAGTAGTTTCGTGTTTGCAAAATCTTATGAAATATAACCAAAAGTATAAAAAAATATTTACTGTCACGAAAATTCTATCATACATTTAGATATGATTTTATATATATATATACAAAATCAATTTTAACAAAAAATGTTTTTTAAAACTATGAGACCGCTGTTGGAAGTGAAAGAATACAACAAAAATGGTGCTTTCAAAAACGAACAGTCTCGACTGACGATTTAAGTGAGAAATTTACAGTTGATAACAAAACATTTTCAAGAGAATAAAAAACAAACGGCAAGAAAGATATTAACTTCATAAATGTCCATTGGTCATCTGTATGGGCTAGACACTTACAATAAAGGGAGACAATTTGAGGGGAGGTAACTCTTGTATGACAATAGTTACTTCAAAGTGTTTTGTTCACTGCAATGAAAATATCACTTTTCTCAACTCCAGAAAACTCAGTCTTTCACACTGAAGTATACAATGATTATCGGTAGTAATAGTAAACAACTAAGGTTGCATTAAAAGAAGAAGTCTTCTTCGGCACATTTTTCTCAAAAGTGAGGAGAGAGGTAGGACTTCATGATTTATTTTATTGAAAACAAAAGTGATGCATAATGAAAAGTTTAAATTTGTTCCCACCAAGAATATCGAGAAACACAGATTTTTAACCATGTGAACACAATGTCAGTTATCAAACATTTCTTTTTAAGAGAATATACTTCATATGACGTGAAAATTATAAAAACATTTTTTATTGGCAATGTGAATGACTAAGCGTGTGAAGCGGTGTATTTAAAGTGAGTATGAAGCAGTATTCCCAAGAAGCGTTTCTTTATTTTTTATCCCTCTGATTAATGATCATCATGATTTAAGGTTTTCATTTACATAGATGTTACGAACCTATTTGGAAAACATAATTTTAGGTTGGATGATTATTTTTCACATAAATTATTTATCATATGCAATGAATACCATCTGTATGCTTGGCAAGAAGGTTGCCAAGGGGGTGTGGATTAATGAATGCCACATGAGGTACAGGCTAACATTTCTTGGCACATGCCTTGTATCACCATATACGTATACTTTCAGTATGATTAAACAGCTGTTTGAAATATGTTAAGAAACAAGGGATCTCACCTGGCATGTCTGCATTGAAACCTCAAGCAATAATTTGCATCCTACCAGTGTCTTGCGATGCTTGGTCCCTACAACTTGTACAAGTATGGCATGTTACAAGTGAAATATTAGACACTTACTAGTTGATACCCAAAGGAATCTGCCTGAAACTGCCACACACAATACTCATCAGAAATATCCTATGGGCATATGGAAAATAAAGACTTGATGATTTCCTGTTATAATTAATTTGACAAGTTCTGACAGCGGTAGAAACTAACATGTTTAGTCCACTATTCCTTATAATGATAACATAGTTCAAAACCCTTAAAAGTGCAAATTTCTACTAGTCCTTATGATACCTTAACTATTGGGTGGTTTGGCAAGGTCAACTCGACTAGTGCCAATTTCTAACGCTGGCTTAGAAAATGAGGGTCTTTTGTCCTGAAAGGAAGAATATGTACCCTCCTGAATCCTCTAGGCAAGGCAAGTGCAAATACATTTGATATTTAGCCTATGTTGTATCCAGTGTTTAGGCTTTATGATTAAAGACGAGAGGTCCCTAGATTCTAACAGAAACCTCAAGGAACCAAAGCCTTGAATCAATTTCTAATTGATATTATTATTCAGCCGAGTGCTGAGAAAATAAAGTTGACAGGTGAATTAATAGCCACTCACCTGAAGCAATCACTTTAAAGGTATCCTTTTAATGATTCGAAAGTTCTTATTTTTTATAAGGTATAATTACAGTTATAATGGAGAGCGCTGCAGAAATGAGTTTTTGGATCTGATGTGATACATCACATTGATGTTTGTTTGTTTTGTTTGTTTGTTGTTTAACGCTGCACTCAGCAATATTCCAGCTATATGACAGCGGTCTGTAAATAATCGAATCTGGAACAGACAATCCAGTGACTGACATTATGAGCATCAATCCACCCAATTGGGATACGATGACATGCTTCAACCAAGTCAGCGAGCCTGACCACCCGATCCCGTTAGTCGCCTCTCACGACAAGCATAGTCGCCTTTTATGGCAAACATGGGTTGCTGAAGACCTATTCTACCCCGGAACTTCACAGGTCAGAACATTGTTGAACTAAACATGAAATTTATTACCTGTTTTAGAAGCATAGAACATAGTTTGAAATAGACTTGTGAATCATAATTTCCTTCTGTAACAAACAAGTCTTTATGTGTGCTGGGGAAGTGACATCATGGGATAAGGACAGACACATGTGACAGGGCTGAGTTTGAAAACAGCCCCCAGTTGTGTTAGAACCAATGTAAGAGGACCAAAATAGCCAAGGCCAGTTGACTGAATGGCATGGTTTTGTAGGAATACGAGAGTAATGCAATGTGTTTTTTTCAGATGTTCAGACCGACAATGCTGTTAGAATCAAATACCGGTAAATGGTGTATGACAAGGTCGTAGACATTTAGGTGTTGCTACAATATGCTTTTTAGGATTGTCGGAAAGACAGTGCTGTTAAATACAAATAAATGGTGTATGACTAGGTTGATAACATTTTGAACAATCTGGATAGACATAAATACCAATCTCTTTACATCGTGTGACATAATTACTTGCAAATATGATAAATGATTGTGTGAAATTGATGCTTGTATTTGAAGTTCACGAAATAGGAAATTGAAATTGATGAATGTCACAGGCTTTAGAAATACTCATTGAAGCTCTCCATAAGTAAATCGGGGAGGGCTGTATCATGAAACAAATAGACAAGCATTCAGCAAGAGTGATATACTATCAAGTCCAGTGGTAGAAACTAACAGTTTTAGTCCACTAGTTCTTATAATGATATTTATAACATATAGTAAAACCCTTAAAAATAGCAAATTTCTACTCGTCCTTATGATACCTTAGCTATTGGGCAGTTTGGCAAGGACTATAAGACTAGTGCCAATTTCTAACCCTGACGTCATACACAGATCAAGATACATGGGGATTCCTGGTAAAGATATAGGTCTCCAGCAACTTATGCTTGTTGTAAGAGGCAACTACATCCGGTAAATGGATCGGGTGAGCAGATCGATGACTTGATTGATTGCAGTCATTGTATCTTATTTGTATGAGTGTTGCTTATGATATCAATCACTGGATTATTTGGTCCAGACTTGTTTATTTACAGACCACTGTTGTATAGCTGTAATATTGCTGAGTGTTCCAAAGTACCCTCAGTATGAAGGACTATGAACAAACCCACTGATTAAGTTAATACTACTTACATTCTTTACTTCAAACACTGCTGTACATATCAGGGTTAGAAACTAACAGTTTTCGTCCACTTGTCCTTATAATGATAACATATAGCAAAAACCCTAAAAAGGGCAAATTTCGACTAGTCCTTATGATACCTTTACCATTGGGCAGTTTGGCAAGGACTATAGGACTAGTGCCAATTTCTAACGCTGCATATATCATGTATATATATATATATACAATACATGATACATATATATGTGTATTCAGCAATAGAGACTAACCCCTCTCAGGTGGTCACTTGTACGCGAGACGGGAGAGCCCCCTGCTAACAGTTTTAGTCCACTAGCCCTTTTAATGATAACGTATAATAAATCCCTTAAAAAATGCAAATTTCTACTAGTCCTTATGATACCTTAACCATTGGGCAGTTTTGTAAGGACTAGTGCCAATTTCTAATGCTGTGTATATACTTTCTTCAAAATTAAGAATGAATGTCAAATACCTTAATGTTAAAAGTTGAAGATTTAGGGGTCTTTAGATTCAAATACCATAGAACATCACTACCCTCAGCATGCTCAGTTTTAACAATGAAGATAATAATGATAAACAAGATAAACTCTTCTGATGTTATTTAGTGTACACCAGTACCTATATGTATTCATCCTACTAGACTAGATATGAGAGAAAGCCAATTATAACTTGTGTGTGCACTTATTGATCCATATATTTAAGTCCCTCAGCACACATTTTTACCAGTTTGAGTGAGGCTGAAGTAAATGTCATATTCTTCAGTGACTGCACTGATAAATCACTAACAATCTATCTAATATACTTGACATTTGTTTTTCAGGGGACTTCTAGCTGGTTCTACTTCAGTTGGTGTGCTGCCGTTGGTGTTGTGACGCAAGATGTTGCAGATTCCGTTTTGGAGGGCCCAGCGGTCCCTGTGCATTGCCTTGCAGCTCGTCATATTCCAGAGTTTCAATGTGCTGTCTGTGCTGGGAGTAGGGGGGCTCTGCTCTAAAGCTGTCGCGTAAGTCTAGTGTTCTGAGATGTACGCATTATGCCTGCAGGGCGGGATCAGCCACTTGCATGAAGCAATCTGCCCTATGTTTAAGCAGGGATTAATGTAGGCTATCTCTAAGCCTAATATCATTTGGAAAGGATTTTGGACACCGTTAGTAAGATGCTTAAAAGTCAGAATCCTTTGGATGAAATTTCTTACTATTTTGTGTGCCAATTGATTGAACTTCTTATGGTGAATTTCAGTACAGAGAACTGAATTTACTTCTGTAAAAATATGATTTTTGAAGGACATTAATTCCTCATTTTAACCGAGACAACCAATGTTTCTAGTCATTATGCTGCAGGCATCATGTAGAAAGTCCTGCTTAATCCCTATAGAGTATCCTTAAGGCAATAAAACATACTTATGTGTAATAGTTTGTTTAAGTCATAGTGTTATTTAGTATACAGCTTAGAAAATATAGGTGTAATTTGTTTTGTCTGCAGCTCTCACTTCTAATTCGACCTGTAGGATCCTAGGTATAACAGGCCCCAGTGCGTCCTTCTTGTCCTTATGTTTGACACAACTTCATTGAGGATTGGGTGGTTTAAGTGTGTGACCTGGCTGATTGTGTTTCAGTACCTACAGTGCAACTTGTTTACCTGGTGCCCACTATTAACAGCACCATTTACAGGCTGTCACTGAGATATTGCTGGAATTTTGTCGATTTGAGCGAAAAGCAGCATGCTCACTCTCTGAAATATTTTTTTTCCATAATTAGCCTAGATAAAAAACTCTAAGATCGACGCTGTTGGGTCACATTGATATGCCATCATCCAAGCCACCGAGTCTGACCACCCAATCCATTAAGGGACCGATTCTAACCCTGAACCCCATGGATTCCCAATTTAGTTGCTTCTTACGACCATCAATGGAATGCTGGGGTCACATTCTACCCCTGAACCCAACAGGATCCAAGATCAAACAACTCTAGTTGATAAATAATCATCTCAAAGATTAACACGGCATGATAACTGTCATTCTAAGTGACACTTCTGGTAAACCAGGATAAGTTGAGTTGTGACCTGACAATTATCCCTGTATGATTATGTATGAGGTCCCCCCACTGGCATCGTACAAGTTGTACGATGGATAGGTCTGTGTCCTGTCTTGGCTTACAACAAGTTCTTGTGGCAAGTTCAATAGCACATAACAGTATGTGCTGATGTGAGGTAACCGATGACTGTGAAAATGGTAACAGCAAATTTGCATAGATAAGAACAAATGAGAAATATCGTAACAATGAAGGGAATTCAAGTCAGTTTTGATCATGTCTTATTAACATATTCATTGGGATCTCTATTAAGTAAGAGAGTTCTTTCTATAGGCATTAAAACCTATTGTGAGGTTTTACTTTTAAAGTAAAACCTATTAAGAGGTTTTATTTTCGTTCTGCTAGCCGTTACGTCACAACTACCTCTATGTAACAGTTGGATTGTTTAAAGTCGAAAATCTTGTAAAGCAAAAAACACCTTTAAAATTTGCGAATTTTCTTTTTGAAAAGTTTAAAAGACATTTAGAAACTGAAGATTTCACATTCATTTAAAAGTAAGTGCTCTTGAACGCCTGGCAAGTCAGCAAATTTCACGTGCAAGTTATGATATCACGTCTTCAAGGAAGCTGTATAATGAAGCGCCTCATTTATAGATGCTCGTTATAACATTTAATCTATTTAGACGGTTTATAAGTATGGTAAAACACTTTCCCTCAGTTTTGGTAGACAGTGCATGCCCTGGGGGTCGGGAAAAACCGCGGGGGCTTCGCCCCCTTGTTTTTTCCCTCTCCCTAAGGCATGCTCTGTCTACCAAAACCTCGTAAGCGTGTTTTCTCCAATACATAGAATCTGGCAAGAGTTGGAAGTTGTTTTCGCACTATATACAAATTGTATACAAATTTGCGAACAGCGCACTGGTCAAAATCATCAACTTCAAATTTGATCTAATGAAACACTCTTCCCTTTGTCACGAGCAATACCTTCTGCATTGATGTGCTTTTGTGTAGATACAGACAGACCTGTGGCAAGACTAGCTTTGGACAATGTTTGAGATTCATTTGTGCATTCTTTCTGCATGTAATTTATGACATTATAGACCAATTCTCGAGCCTGAGGATGTATGGTTTGGCCATGCTTAACTGGCGTTGACATATTTATTTGTTTGTAACTAACTTCTATCAAAGATCTTTTAGAGAATTCTGGTATCGACTTGTCACACTGACCTCTTAATACATAACGTATAGCAAACCCTTAAAAAGGGCAAATTTCTACTAGTCCTTATGATACTTTAACTATTGTCCTGTTTGGCAAGGACTATAGGACTAGTGCCAATTTCTAACGCTGCGTAGATCGATGCTCATGATATTAATCACTGATTGTCTGGTCCAGACTCAATTCTTTACAGACCGCCATCACATAGCTGGAATATTGCAGAGTGCAGCATTAAACAACAAACAAACAAAGTTTTGTGGTGTCATTTGGGAATACATGTCAAATGATGACTCATTGAAAAGTATAATTAGCAAAGTAAACCTGAAGATTCATAAATGGCAAAAGGCATCATTCTTAATGAAATGCTCCTTCTTGTTACATTTTCAAACAATCAGATTTCAGCATTAACTCTCATTCATTTTACAATATTTCTATATATCATTAGACTACTTAAACCAGGTAAAGGCTTGGTCCCGGATCATATGTCTTGATATATATAGAGAAGCTGTTTCTTTTAGAAATGACACATTCTTTGATATTCCTTCTTTTAAACTGAACTTGATATGAGATACATAGTCTGTAGCACTGTAACAATATACTTTGTAGCAATACATTATATAGCACTAGTTTGATCAATGTTCAAAATAACACTGGATCACAAGCCAACAATAAAACGAACTGAATACATTCGTATTGTCGACAGGAAAGGTAGATGTTTTCAGCAAAAAGCTGTGTCTGGCATGTTAATGATGTTTGGTTGGTAATGCTTGTTTTTAAAGTGGAATTGTAGACACATTCTCCCGATGTTAGGTTAGATGCATCATCTACAGGGTTTTACTTTGACTTACAAAACTAGGGGTCGAGATGACTCCCCAAATGTAATTTCAAGGGTCTTACAGGGAATACAATGGTCCTGTAAAGTAATGAAATGACGTAGTGTACTGTACTGTAAGTACTGTATATATATTGCCAAAAATTTGATACAATGAATATTATTGTGCATCCCTCAGGACACATTATTTGTTTTCTATCCATTCTATACATTTGTGACCCATGAAGATCCGGGGTAGAATAGGTCTTCAGCAACCAATGTCTGTCGTAAAAGGCGACTAACAGGATCGGATGATTGGGCTCGCTGACTTGGTTGATGCATGTTATTGTATCCCAATTGCTAGTATCGATGCTCATGATGTCAATGACTGGAATGTCTGGTCCATACTCCATTATTCACAGACTGCCGTCATATACCTGGAATAATGCAGAGTGCGGCATTAAACAACAAACAAACTATACATTGTGAGAATTTTTAACAGGACGCACCTTTCTGCGTCATGTAAAACCCTGCATCTGTAATTAGGTGAAACAATAAGTAAGCACAGCTAATATCAGTATACACTAGAATCTACTGAAAATGATGCTATTAAAGAGTCAGGTTCAGGCTAGTAGACTCAAAATCGTTTGGCACAGATTGTAAATAATATCCAAGTTCAGAGTTCACAAATTCTGTAGCCACAAGGTAACAGCAGACATGCACATGATGCAGTGTTTACGATAACAGTTAAACCCAGGGCATTGCAGCAAGTTCAGCACTTTTTGTCAGGTCTCCCATAAGTCAGACTGTTCCTGCAGATGTTTAAAGAGTGATGTCAAGTATGTGTTGTTTACTTCCTGAATGTTCCTGAATCTTGCATCAGACTACTAATGTTTCCTTGAAGCTACCGGTAAATGAATGAGACAAATCAGCCAAAAGGAGGTACATATAAGTTTAATGAATACTCAGCATTGTCAGAAACACAAGAAAATGTCTATAGATATGTGCGATGACAATGTGAAAGAAGTCTTGGAAATCATTTCTGGAGTCTGCAACTTTGCCACTTGTCCAAATCCAGGTCAAACCTTTATTAACCACAGTCTGGTAATGATGATGCTTGACAACTCTTGTCACCACACCCTAAGAAAATGGTACTGTTTTCGACGTAATAAGCGCCCAGGGCGCTCTCAAAATTAGAAATAGGGGACTCTTATTAGAATGTTATTTTGGTGAAAAAAACAGAGTTGAAAGATTAATTTCGTGGTTTATGCTGACAGCCTGAAATGTTTATATACGAGAGATACATTTTTCCATCAATCGGAAGGGGTGCTAATTGGTATTGTTCACTAGCCAATATATTAGCAAATACAAATGTATGGCCGGGGGCCCTTATTACTTTTCGTACCACTGGACCGTATCCTATGTGATGCATAATGTCAGTCATTGTAGTGTGTACCATTTTAAAGTGTGTCAGGTAAACAGTTTGTTGCAGTACAAAATATGTCACTCATTGTGTATCTTGGAGTATAAACATTTTGTTTCAGTGTCCAGAGAGAGTCGAAGAAGGTGCATGTCCTACGACGTCTCCCTGCAGCGTGTTCCAACTGGGATAAATCTTGGGCATGGCTCACTAAAGTAGACTGTGGGACAAAATATAGGTAAGTAGATTGTTATTGGGACACTTGCTTCAACTAGAGTGTATTTGGTGTATATAGTTTATAGTTTATGTGCCACCATGCTGACATCAGTTTTCACCACCACAAAATCCAAAAGGGGAGGATTAAGGTCAAATCTCTCGACATTTGAAATGGAGAGCTCTCATGAGAGTGGGTCACTGATTAAGTAGAATATGGCATAAGGAATGCTCTAGTGTATATTATGTATCCCAACACACCTATATTGAAGGAAAACTTTCTTAGTCAAACATGTTGAAACGTGTCTATGGTACTATGATACTGAGGCTTCTCAAATCCACTTGAGGATATTATTGTTTGTATTTTTTTCAATTTCTTGATTAAGAGTCATTGTTTATTGATTAAGAATTGACCTCAACATGTTTTGCATTTATGGAGATATAAATGTGTGCACACTGTGTAAATCTGTGTAGTGTAGTTTATATCTCCTTAAAACGCGAAAACATACTGAAGTCAGTTCTTTTAAGTTAATGCTTCAACAGTGATTTAACTTCATAGACTGCTTATTATCATTAGCTCAAAAATGCTGTCAACAACAACACAACCCCCGTGAAGATCGGTGTTAGAATAGGTCTCCAGCAACCCATGCTTGTTCCCCATGAAGATCCAGGTTAGAGTAGGTCTTCAGCATCCCAGCATGCTTGTCAGAGGCGTCTATGCTTGTTGTAAGAGACGACTAATGGGATCGGGTGGTCAAAAGCTCGCTGACTTGGTTGATGCATGTTATCGTATCCAAATTGCGTGGATCGATGCTCATGACATCAATCCATGAATTGTCTGGCCTAGACAGCCGCCATGTAGTGAGTGAGTGAGTATGGTTTTACGCCACTTTTAGCAATATTCCAGCAATATCACAGCGGGGGACACCAGAAATGGGCTTCACACATTGTACCCATGTCGGGAATCGAACCCGGGTCTTCGGCATGACGAGCGAACGCTTTAACCACTTGGCTACCTGACCGCCCCTCCACCATATAGCTGGAATATTGTTGAGTGTGGCATTAAACAACAAACAAACTAAAAAAAGATGCAAAATCAGTGACATCGTTCACCACAATAATGCAACACAAGCCCTGCCAATTCAAAATAATCAACCAATTTGGAAAAAGTTGTCCGTTAGTGGGCATGGCCTAAATGTATATTTTTTTTATTAATGAAAAAATATACACCAGAATACACCAGAAACAATTGCCTGGTTAGTCAATCAATTGCCACAGAATCACTTGCAATTTATTTATTCCTAAATAAACTTTTTAACTTAACTTAAATAATCAAATCTAGTTGTAATAAAAATGGTAGCATTAATAGACATGCACAACAGTGTTTAAGTTTCAGAAGCAAGAGAAAGACTTTGTGTTATCATACATGTTGGCTGAATCATTTCATGCCAACATAAAAGGGTTGTTTGAAAGCAGGGGAGTTTATTGGAATCAATATTCAGACTTACTGTCTCAGATATATGAAGTAATAACCAGGCCCTGGCTTCTCAGCCTTCAGCTTTTATGCAGCTCATAAACATGGCAGCACAGTTATCTTTGTTTCACTGGGTCCCTCATGAGACAAATACGACATCAAAACATAATTGTTTTGGCTGGCTGTTATAATGTGCTGGTCTCATGGCCTGGCTATGGCACTCCACAGCAAGATTTGGCCAAGTCTAGGCCCTTCCACTTTTCAACTCCTTGGGGAGTTGTGGTGAACATTTGCCAACCAGCCAACCTTTTTGTGTATTGTCGAGTAATACATATCATACACAAATCAATATTTATCAGCTATTCATGTGGATCAATAATTATTCATTGCCCTGGGGAAGGTGATTTGAAGCAACTGGGGATGGAAATACAGGAAGTCATTAGGAGCTGGATGTTATTTTGTTGCATCTGTGGCGTGTTGATACAACAGGCACAAAGAAGCATGGTCATTTGGATAAAACGATGCTGAAGAATTGTTGATAATTTGAGAGAGTTTAATTGCTCCAATACAGTACAATCAAGAGCAGTCTTCAATCACTATTAATTTGCAAATATGTTCTCACCATCTCTTTTTCACTGCAGACAGGTTCTGAAATGTCATTTGCTAAAAACCGGCTGCAGCAGATTGTTAATTAATCATTTGACTAATGGATTTGTGGACATGCACAGTAATGACTACACATTGATTATAGGGAAAAGGATTAGCTTTTATGCAGTATTTCACAGGTGTTTTGCTGAGACAATATTGTGTTGCAAATTTGTAGTGTTATATTGACAATCCGTTCACATTTGCGGAGTTAAGAACTTGAAATTGTTTTCCCATTGTTTGCATCACCTAGTTCTAATTATTTATAGTTTGTAATAATGTTGCTGAATATTTGGTTAGAGTAATATGTACGTCAAAATATAATTTGTTGATGTTGATAAAATCACATTAAAGCAAACAGTCAGTGTACTTATCGCCTTGATTAAGGCAGTGCAGTGGCCTTACATATCTACTAACACATGCACACTTTCTACATTATCAAGTCAGACTGAATACTCTAAATTATCTAAGATGTTTCCTTTGGTTAGAATCAATATGAACAAACATGCTATAAAACATAATGAATAACGTTCAAGCCACAAGTAGCCATGGCGCCAGTGGAGGTTATCTCTATGTGATAAACAGTGTACAAATTTTCAATAAGGTCAATGCTATTCACGTTCTTGCAACCCCATAATTTGAAAAATGTGCACCAGGTTGAACACTTGAAGAGAGTTGTCATGTCTTCAACTCTCAATGGTAAGTACAGGGGTCGTCATAGGCTGAGAGTAGTCAGATTTATTCTGCAACAAATTCTATTTTATTTTCAATCGTTGAGGAACCTTCCTCAAAATCCATGAATTTTTATGTCAGGAAAACAGAAAAGTAACTGTGGGATTTGTACTCTAATCATGATGAATTGATGAATCCAAAGAACAGATATTTGAAACTCCCTTGGCACTTACGACAATGAATACAAGGTGCTTTGGCCGAACATTGTGTGGCATTCATAGCTGGCTTTATAGGTCTTTCTGTCCTTCGCTTCCATTTACGCAGCTACTTCAGCAAGCTTCTGCCGTATAATGACCTTGTTTGTACTAGTGAGTCATAAGAACTGCATTGTGGGTAAGGATGCACTGATATCACTTTTGCGTGTGCTGTTAATAAGAGTTGATCTCTTATAATGATCATGTTTTTATTGAATTATGCATGAATATGCTTAATCAGAATATTACTTAAGTGATTCTAGCAAATGGACAGAATACTCTTGATTACGTTTGTGTATCTGCTAATCATGATGGATTAATGATCTTTCGCCAGATAATCACCCTGTACTGTTTCTGCATCCACAAACCCTATTTCAGTATCTTCTCGCAGGCGAGTACATTATGCAAATAGTTTCCCTTCAGATATTGCAAAATACAAATACAGGGAATTTTTACTTGTGACCTTGGCAAAATAAGTGCCATGATGGTTGAAAGTTAGGTACTTCAGTGTGGGTGTATGGCAGTCATAATCACCCTTCAGTGTGGAGGTACGACACAGATATTGGTGCTGTGAGTGTTGAAAGTTATGTACTTCAGTGTGGGTGTACGGCAGTCATAGCTGTCCCTAAGACTACAACATTGTACAACATGAGTGTTCAGTGTGGGTGTATGGCAGTCATAATCACCCTTCAGTGTGGATGTACGACACAGATAATCACCCTGTACTGTTACTGCATGCACAAACCCTATTTCAGTATCTTCTTGCAGGCGAGTACATTATGCAAACAGTCTCCCTTCAGATATTGCAAAATACAAATACAGGGAATTTTTACTTGTGACCTTGGCAAAATAAGTGCCATGATGGTTGAAAGTTAGGTACTTCAGTGTGGGTGTATGGCAGTCATAATCACCCTTCAGTGTGGAGGTACGACACAGATATTGGTGCTGTGAGTGTTGAAAGTTATGTACTTCAGTGTGGGTGTACGGCAGTCATAGCTGTCCCTAAGACTACAACATTGTACAACATGAGTGTTCAGTGTGGGTGTATGGCAGTCATAATCACCCTTCAGTGTGGATGTACGACACAGATAATCACCCTGTACTGTTACTGCATGCACAAACCCTATTTCAGTATCTTCTTGCAGGCGAGTACATTATGCAAACAGTCTCCCTTCAGATATTGCAAAATACAAATACAGGGAATTTTTACTTGTGACTGGCAAAATTGGTGCTGTGATTGTTGAAAGTTATGTACTTCAGTGTGGATGTACGACAGTCATAGCTGTCCCTAAGACTACAACATTGTACAAGGTGAGTGTTGCTAGGTTTAGAGATATACCATGAAGAGTATCTACATGAGTGACAGCTAATAGGTGCAGTTTGGGTCTAGCAATATCGAAATTAAGCATGTAAATCAAGGACATGGTTCGAAATGAACAAAAGGACATTTAATACATCTATTTACAAACCCTGTGTCGCAATACATAGGAGACGTTAAATTTAATGTTACATTGGTACAAAAACATGTGAGTAATAACATATTTAACGTACTAAGCGAAAATGTTCAAGAACCCGCTTACGCAGATTCTCTTGTAGTCCCCGGTTGGCTATAAAAAGCAGAACATTAACAGCGCCCTCTAGCCTGTATGTTTGTACCCTACAAAAGCCCAACTTCGATCTCTGAAGTTTACAAACAGATGATTCAGAATCCTTTTCATAATCATGAGAAATCTCTGGTAAAAGCAGAGTCCATTGTACGATTCTGATACGTCATAATCGTGTATTATAAGCAATGTCAAATAGTGATGACACCAGGGCCCACTTGCACAAAGCAATCTTAGCACTACGACTATTGTAAGCCTTTGTTAAAGTGTGGGAGTTAGTGGGAGTTACGATCATCTTAGCGCTAAGATCGCTTTGTGCAAGTGGGCCCAGGTGTTTGCAAAAAGATATAATATTGACAATAAATTGACCAATGTGATTTTCATGACACTTCTTAACTGGTAAATATTTGAATGAGAGAAGGAAGAATTCTAAGAGAGAATCCCTAAATCTGATGCTTATCAGTGGATGATTTAGTGACAGTGCGTCTGCAAAACGTAAGAGACCCTGTTCCAACTACATGGCCATTGCTTACAGACCAATAGTGGACTTTCGGAAATACAAGATGGAGAAATCTCAGTAGATGCCAGAGATCTTCAACATTCAATTAGATGTCGCCTGAGTCGAAATAATGCTAGAGCTGTTGGAATAGTTTAATCATTGTTCAAATGTTGTTGGTTTTACATTTTCAGATTAGATTATGTGACGGTGCCTCCGAGGGAAGCAGTGACGTACAGGATAGAATATGCGTGCTGTGCGGGAGATACCAAGTGTGAGTCGGATAAAGGTGAGGTGCACATACAATGACAAGGGTTAGTCGGCAAATACTGGATAAATGATATTTGTCTCATTTCTAAGTTCTCATTGCTATGAATTCAGAGACTGGAAGTCCTGATTTTATTGTGAAATTAATTTTAGGTTGTGATGCATTTGGGTCAGTTTTATAAAAGACATTGAATTTGTCTTGTAAATTTTGGATTTATCATGAAATCAAGTGTCAATGTCATGCTTTTGCATCTAAACAAATGCTTAACATCTCTGTATAATTTTCAGAATTAAGATAACACCAAGAACACTTGTCTTTGTCTTGCTCTTTGCCGATTTTAACAGAATAGACAATTCATATAACAATAAGCGCCCCACTCGTATAAGCGCCCACGCCGATATTTGCTAATATATTGGCTATTGAACAATCCCAATCAGCACCCCTTCCGATTGATCAATGTACACAAGACTTATTTATTCGTATATAATACGCACTCGTGTGTTATATGCACCTTTAATTATGGGCAATTAAATTCTGGAAAAATATATCTGTCCTATACAAACATTTTCAGGCTGTCAGCATAAACCACGAAATTTATCTTTCAACTCTGTTTTTTTCTCTCACCAAAATACCATTCTAATAAGAGCCCCCCTATTTCTAATTTTGAGAGCGCCCTGGGCGCGTATTACGTCGAATACGCATCATAAAGTGATGATATCAGCCTAAAGTGCCAAGGTAGGGTTTTCCGAAGCCATTTGATATGAGTCATGATAACTACCGAGATTATGTATCACAAATCAATTGAAATTACATATAAACATTAAACAGCCTGATTGACTCTATTTGATGTATTAAGAGCATTTACCCCACCGAGCTTCTATCAATACAAATGATAACTGTTTGCAAATCAATTATTAAACACTTCACGTTTCTGAGCACAGCAAACTTAACGTGAAGGGTTGTTATTTTGAATTGTCCTTATGTCCTGTTGCATCAAACATGCAGGACTCCAGAGTCTGGAAAGACTTTGACAAGATATACCCCAAATCCTTGATTAAGTACCAGTACATCTATTGTTTCATTAAACCACTCAGACAAAGTGTTCATTCAGGGCAGACATATCTGTTCAGAAAACGTCAAATTGACCATTAATGGACCGAAATCGGCAGTGATCTATCTCTTGCAACATTTACTTTGTTATATGAGCACAATTGACCTGGTGTTTTTTCAAGACAATATTGATTGTATGAGATGTGATTTGTATACTTCTTACAGTACACTCTTATCAGTGTATTGTATAGCTGAGGCTGAGGCTTAGTCTGTTTGTCTACATGAGTGCTTCACACTTGAGGAACTGGAAGTTTGTGTAGTCCAATACTCAGCATGCTTAGGCCAGAGCAATTTCTTGTTTAACACTCTTGGAATATAATGCCTGGAAACAGAAGTAAAATAAAGTAAAATGTTATTTAATTTGGTTTATTTAATTTCTAAATCAATTCTTTTTGACAAAAGCACATTTTCAAACATTGCATTGTGAGTGAAAATTTGTTTTCCTTGAAAATTATGAGATAGCTTTGCCATAAAAGAATAAAATAAATTTGTCTGGACCATTCCAGAAATTAAAAAAGAGAACCCTCTGAATTTTCTCAAGAATTTGATTTTTTTTTTCAAAGGAAACATTATACAAGCGACCACTGAGAAGAAATTCAAATGTCCATGTGTTTAATTATGACAGTGATTAGAACAATACTTTTTAAGATAATTAACTTTCAAGTTGCCATGGAAAACTCCATAAAGTCAGTTGTATGGACAACCATCTGCAAAGGTTTATGTATAAAAACTGTAAAATCTTCTAACAGAGGCTGCTGGCATAAAACTGCCTATTAGAGAAGGTACCGTCACGTTGCTGGGAAGCTGCAGACAAAGTCGGGCTTTGTGGTTAAAGGTTATATGTCTACTAAAGTATACACACTATTAATACAGAAAAAAGTCCATTCTGGTCCTGGGTATCGGTAAAAAAATGGTCATACTTGCAGGATGTTTGGGTGAATGTTGAATTTACAAACCATAGTTTTAGTTGTGAAACATCACTTGTAAATATATTATTCATATAAGCAACTGTGTATTGAGATTATGACCATCATGTAGACCAATATTACCAAAATGAACCAATATATATATATATAGCAAAGACAGTCGTTTTTAAAAATTTGATATTCTTTGACTACTATGACTATGACTACTAGAAAAACCTCCAGAGTTGTGACTTGACTATTTTTTAGGCCAGTTCTTGTTTTCATCATTTTGGCCTATAAGACATTGGGGACGGTCAGGTAGCCTAGTGGTTAAAGCGTTCGCTCTTCACGCCAAAGACCCAGGTTTGATTCCCGACATGGGTACAATGTGTGAAGCCCATTTCTGGTGTCCCCCGCCGTGATATTGCTGGAATATTGCTAAAAGCGGCGTAAAATCAAACTCACTCACACTCACTATAAAACAGTGAAAGTATATCAGTTACGTGCCTGGCTTCCACTTGAGAGGTGCTCAGCGGCACTGTTACAAAGGAGTCCAAGAAGAGTGAAAGCGGTTTAGTCTCTAAGGCAAAAGGTTTCTTGAAACAAATGAACTTTATAACACTAATATCTTGCGAAACCGATGCCAAGATACATGTTCAGGGCTGGTGGACTAATGTGTGACTACCTGGCTCATTATTGCACTAATGGTCACTAGAGCTGTGCTGTTGTATGTGATCTACCTGACTCCCGAACTGTTGTGTTAAGGGGTTCTCTATGTGTCTGTGTGCAGGTTTAGTGACATCAGATGAGAAGTTCCTCGCCATCATCCTGGGCTCTACTGCCGCCGCCCTGCTCATCCTTGTGCTTATCATCACCATCAGCCTCTGCCACAAGAGGAGACAACTAAGGTTGGTATCAACTGACATTTATTGACACACAGGGTTTTACACGAAGCACAAATGCAGTGTTAGAAATTGGCACTAGTCCTGTCGTCCTTGCCAAACTACCCAATGGTGAAGGTATCATGAGGACTAGTAGAAATTTGCCATTTTTAAGAGTTTTGCTATATGTTATCATTATAAGGACTAGTGGGCTAAAAATTTTATTTTCTACCACTGCATATGTGCGTCCAGTACTCACAAATGTAGAGAATGGATGCAGAAAGAAATATACTGCGTCCCAAGGGACTCACAATAATTACCATTGTACCTACAGCACATCAAGAGCAGTTACGGGTGTCTGTAGTGTTAGTTCAGCCATCAATCATGACCACTGTCCACATGATCATTGATTCATTCCAGGCTCTAAAGTTATTATCTAAATATACATGTACAGTACGATACACCATTTCAGTACTTTACAGGACCCTCATATTGCCTGCAAGGAGCCTCAAAATTAATTATTGGGTGTCCCTTGGATCTCCACTTTTGGAAGTGAAGGTAAAACCCTGGGCACACATTGGCTTTTCCTGTGGTCAAAGTTCACCCTTATTAATTTATACCACTTCTGTTCACGTTAAGATCCGGGGTAGAATAGGTCTTCAGCAACCCATGCTTGCCGTAAAAGGGGACTATGCTTGTCGTAAAAGGTGACTAACGGGATTGGGTGGTCAGGCTGGCTGACTTGGTTAATGCAGGTCATCGATCCCAATTGCGTGGATCGATGCTCATGATATCAACTACTGGATTGTCTGGACCAGACTCTATTATTTACAGACCGCCGTCATATAGCTGGAATATTGCTGAGTGCGGTGTAAAACAACAAACCAATCTGTTCAAGTTACCACTATACAGTGAAACATCATTAGTCTGGAACCTGTTTGTCAAAAGGACAGTAATAATTATGGTTGGGCTAAATACTTTTTGGGCTCGGTCCCCAGCAACCTATGATTGTTGTAAGATTCGACTTAGTGGATCGTGTGGTCTGGCTCAGTTGGTTTGGTTGAAAGTGTATCTCAGTACCCCGATGATGGTTGTCCACAGTATCAATCACAGGATTGTGTGGTCCAGACTCGATTATTTGCAGGCATCTGTCATTTACCGGTATCTGAAATATAATTGACACATGCACACACAAAAGAATTGACTGATGGAACTGCCACACAAGAGATGTTATGATGTAAGATGTTACAGGTTTTGCTGAGACTAATATGTTGCTTTCCTTGGATTTGCTCTCACTCGGGGTGAATTTTGACTGTTTCGATAGTTAAAAACACAAATGTGTTAGTAATAGGTTATAGCAAGATGAGAAGGTTACCTTCCTACAGCGAAGATTTGTTGTGAGTTCTGTGTTATGTCTACACACTGGACTCTTCTGACAAGATGTTGGCCTAGGCTCAACATTGTTAATTCAAAGATCTATGAACCATGGAATATATAAGGCATTATCTATAATTCCTCCTTCTCACATATCTGATGTCTCACTGATACCCACATAATCACTGGCCAATATTTGAGTAAATATCTTTAAATAGACATCCAATCTGCCACTATGTCTAATATTGTCGGAGTATAGATAGTTGGGAGATCGGATTTTCTTCATCTCCTGTTACCAGTAACCACCCCCAAGATTTGCCTAGATGAACGACTGATGAAATGTATGCAAAGTTAATAGACACAGGGGACTCATATTCCATATCTTCTTCACTTGCTTTCTGAGTGAACTCTTGTCAAGACACATTGCAGCTACAAATGGCCACTTCCATGGATGATTGGCGTGTAAAAGCTTTCCTGAATAACAGCCTGGCTGATGGACAAGGGTTAGTCTGGTCACCTTCCACCCATTGTACACATTAGGCTGGGGATTTAATTACACTCAGGCCATAATGTCATCATCTGAATTCAGACATAGGTTCCAGATTGATGCTTTGGTCCACCATAGCTGTTTTTCATTCTGAAAATTAATTTTGAACATTTGAAAGTTATTATATGATGAAAGTTAAACCTCTGTCACTTCTTAGTTTCTATCACTAAGATCTTAGGCAGTGAATATGACTCAGGAGTGCATTAGCTCGTTTTGAATTATTTGATCTTCTACCATTGGAAAATCAATACAGAGGACAAGGGACATAAAGGATATCGTGGTTGAACTTAATGCAGGTTACTCAAGAGTGTGGTCTATCAAATACTTCAGATAAATAACTGCTCAGATCAAACATCAACCCACTCCCTTCGAAAAATTTATGAGATAAATGGATATGTGTACAGCAGAAATCGCTTCAAAAACCAATGATTTTCTTTCGTTCATGAAAGTTATTTTCTGTTACTTTATTGTCAATCCCTCAGAAATGTCAGATGACAGTGTTGTTTCTGTGTATAAATCATACATATTTAAGTATAACATCTGTTCCTGTCATACTTTCTGTGACAGTAACGATATACTTCGTTGCAATACATTCAAATCGCTATAGCAACATCACAATTCTCTAACAAATATGATACATGAAAACGTGATACATGTACTAGTTTTGTTAAGCAGTCGTATTCCATCATCCAAGAAAATGACAATAGAGACCAACCAAAATGTATCTTGTGAACCTGAGTCTGTCAAGTAAGAATGGCTTGAGGAGTGTCACTGGTTGTAGTGACACAACTGAAACGTATTAAGGAATCTTGAGTAAAGGAAACCAGAAAGTAGAGAAGAAACTTTTATCCTTCTTAATGAAACTAAAAGCAGGCTGTGACTTCAGCCACTGGTCTCTCAGGAAACTTCTGTTTGGCACAGCTAATAATAGTCCATATTATAACACTAAACTTTAAGGGTGTGTGGTATTATCGGGAAAATGAGGTTCATTCTTTCCACGATACGTATCACAATATCATTTTTTCATGCTCGATTTATTGGGTGATGTCAATTAGCAAGTTTTTAATTTTATTTTCTTGCCAAATGCTTTTGCTGCCCGGCAGCATGCATCTGGGGCTGCAAGATGGCTGCGTATTTATTGACTGAGTACACATCGTGTTGTAACAGCATCTTGTTTTGTTCCATTTAGAACTTCATTTCGTACCTTAATGTATCACTATCAGATTATAGACCGCCTCCGTGGTCTAGTGGTAGAGCGTCCGCCCGGAGAGCGGAAGGTCCGGGGTTCGATCCCCGGCCGCGTCATACCAAAAGACGTTAAAAGATGGTACTTGTTGTTACCCTGTCTGGCGCTCGGCATTAAGGGGCTAAAACAAGGACTGGTCGGCTTGGAGTCAGTATACTGTGTCTGAGTGGGGTATTCATGTTAAACTGCGGCATGGTATCTCAGTGAGCTAGCACTATAAATCGGCATCAGTCCAGACTAGTACAAGCAGCCACACACACACACACGTACATGCACGTCGCTTTATAAGTGCAATAATCTTGAACGCGACGTTAAACTCCATTTCACCACCTCAAAATTTATAATTATTCAATATATCATGATACTTATCGCAATAAGGCCTTGTGCATCGCAAAATATTGTGATACACTTCAAACCTCCAATACCCATCCCTACTAAACTCAACTAAGATGCTAAGACTAAGAGCCAAAGTTGGGCTTGTAGTGAGTGTGTGAGTATGGTTTTATGCCGCTTTTAGCAATATTCCAGCAATATCATGGCGCATTAAGCCTAGGCTACCCCACCGCCCATTGGGTTTGTAGACACAAAAGGTTTTGGCACAAACTTTAACAGTGCATTCCATCAAATGTTACCATGGTTACAGTTCATGTTCATACCATTTCTATGTTCTCCTTATATACAATGTATATCCTTGTATCATTTAGTATTGACACATGGAGCTCCAGATAAGCTGTGTATCTGCATAAAATACGCAAAATTAAACATCATTACCAATTAATGTGAGTTGCTTGCGTACAAATATGCTTGAACCATTTTTAAAAAACTGCAATTTGACAACACACTTCTTAATTACCCAGTATATCTGTTTCAAATTGCATACTTATATTACTTTACAGATTTGTATATTGATCAAATGCAGGCATCACGCACACATACACTCAGTGAATAATACACACAAAAAGCTCTACGCCTCACTTAATATTAATTAGGGATGTATATCACCCTTGCGAGTTTATGCAACATATTACACACTTGGGGCAATGCACGAACAGATACATAGTAGAGGTCACCAAAACAGCATTTTAAGCAGAATTATTTTATAAATTATTGATATAAACAGACTCCTAGGGAGTAAATATATGATGAAAACCATCAATACCCAATGTGAGTGATGGCTTGTGAGTAAATGCTCATTTGTTGAAAGTATTATCTGGAGCCCAAGACATGTTTGTTCGTTTGTTGTTTAACACCGCACTCCAATATTCAATAATATTCCAGTAATATGACGTCGGTCTGTAAATAATCGAGTCTGGACCAGAATATACAGTGATTAACATCATGAGCATTGATCCACGCAAATTGGAATACAATGACATGCATCAACCTAAGTCAGCGAGCCTGACTACCCGATCCCGTTAGTCACCTCTTACTGCGTAGTCGCCTTTTATGGCAAGCATGGGTTACTGAACACCAATTCTACCCCAGATCTTCACTGGGTGAAGACAAGCATGGATTGTTGAACACCTATTCTAACCCAGATCTTCATGGAGGGAGACAAGCATGGGTTGCTGAAGACCTATTCTACCCCAGATCTTCACGGGTCCCTAGACACGTGGCTTCTTCACATAGATAATTATGATACATCACAACTTCAGTGTATTGTTGCAGCTGTAGGGGGCATAGGTAGCCCAGTATATAAGGTGTGTCTATGATCATGGGTTTGAATCCCAGATTGGCCTGGGAATGTGTCTAGGTCTGAACCAGAACCATACTCATGGGTTTTTCATGGATAAAGACCTGAATCACTTGGGGCTTTCCTCCCACATCAAGCTGACATGCTGTGATATAACTGAAATACTACTGTTCATAGTGGTGTTTAACCCAACTCACTGTTCCCGCTTTGAAGAATCCAATATTCATTTGCACAAATGCCTTTATTTGAGTACCTTCATGCACAACACGAAACATCAACTGAGAAGTTGTCAGGTACACGCCACCAGGAAATGTTTTGTTTCCTGCTGTCCGAGTAAACCAAACAGTTGCAGGACTTAATTCAACCACCCCGAATTCAAGTGCAGACATTCTCTTCCAAAGCTGATGTAGTTAATCTGACTTTGTTGTATTGAAATTACTTCGAGAGCTGACTTGAATTTTCAAGTATTTGTGAAGTGGATTTTCTCTGACAAATAGGTGAAGACAAATTGAAGACCGAGACACAACTAATGATGCTTCTTGAAGGAGGTTAAGGTGTGGATAGGAGAGGATAGTGATGACAAATTGGTCTAATCCAATCTCCAAGGTTCTGTATTCGTAAGCTTGGTTGGATTTTGTGTAAGGCAGCACCGGTATTTGTGGCTGCCCAGGCCCATTACTGTTGCCTCTGCCTTGGTTTATTGTAGTGTTTCGGTGCCTAATCTGGAGGTGTTCATCACAAGGATTGAGTTTGCATGTGTTGGAAATGTTTGCAGTCTTTGATTGGAGAGCTTGTTGGAAACTGTACTGTGGGGTTTTGTAAGTTTACATATATTTACTGTACTGGGTGTGTGTAAACATTTGTGTATGGGTGATTTTCATGAAAATTGATATACTTTGTATGTTTTTTTGTATCTATAGACAGTTTAAATGTGGAATGTATGTGAACAGGTTCCACACGCAGGCTAATACCGCATGTAACAAGTTGTCATATATGTACAACTATGTCTTTTTCTTGCAGGTGCCCTGTGATGTGTGATAGTGGCAGCCACATTTATGAAACTGCTGAAGGTAATTACCCAATTTTCAGTCTTCAACTTTAGACACTTGTCCAAAGTCAGAGTTTAGTCAAAAATATTTTAGCTTATATCTTACAACTAAATTCTGTAAAAGAACTTAGCAGCTAGTAGACAATAATGTTTTGGGAAATGTCTATTGTAATTCGTCTAGTTCTACAAGCCTGTAGACCAACAATTAAGCTCCTCACAGCGATAGCCCGTTTGTGGAGCTCTCTATACTATCTCTGTCACCAGTCAAAACTCCCCACTGTGATAGGTGACCACAACCATGCTTCAAGTTGAACTCGCAACAGAATGACTGTTATGTTTACAAACAAATGATGACTGTCATGATGTCGAATACTCTTAGTCTTACCCCAGCTTAATTATTTTCATTGTATGCCAATTTGAATTTCTATTTCATTCCAAGTATTATGTAATTGGTATAGTAAGAATGTAAAGTGATTTTCCATTAGTCTGCATTCTCGAACCAAACTGATTATACAAACAAAAGAGTAATAATGGCATTCCCAAAGACATAAACAAAAGTATAAACGTCACTATATTTGGGGTTAGAGGGCAAATTTCAAGATTCTTGTAATGGCCGCGCCCACACTTTTGGTGGCAGCAATGTTACCGAGTTTGTAACGAAGGTGTCACGCGCTGGGAAGGAGCTTGACCAACAATATGATGAGACAGAGAAACACAAATGCTTTCAATAACAGAGCCTTAGACACTTATTGCATGGTAGTGGTTCATCATAAGAAAGATGTAAAAATGATATCATTTGTCATTTAATTACTTCTATTACTTTCAAATGTACAACAAACACTGATCCTCTCCATATATTTGAATTGCGGGATTAATGAGTGACTAGACTAACATCTAGTCTCTGAAATGAACATATCGTACAGAAAAAAACAGTTGTTCAGTTATCTTAATAAAAAATATAATAAAAGGATTAATGAGTGACCTGAGAAATGTAATGTGCATATGTCGTCACTCAAGCGAATTGTGTCATCACTCAAGCGAATCGTAAGATGCATGTGTGAGATTCATGAGTCATGATAACTGACTCCTGTGTAATGTGAACTGTATGTTTTCATGCATGATATGTCATGTAATAGCTTCAGCTGGAGCTGAGAAGAGCAAAGGGTAACATTGTAATGATATTCTGTATTTGATATTTCAAACTATCAAGCCTTTTTTGCATTAAAACAGTGATATCAGTGTATAACATTTATCACATTATAACAGTTTGCTGAACACAAATTCGATCAGTTAGTCCAAGCCTGAAGATCAACAGTCTAGTTCAAAGTGAAATAGGGGATATTTTTGCAGCTTTTTTTTCAATAATGTACACAACGGTCCCACCTACTTCATACTGTTCTTCCCAGCTCAATCCATGAAGCAAAAACCTTGGACATGTTGCTATTGAGCCAAACGTTGACGCTTTCGATTGTTTCCTGATTCCCTTTTATTAAAAAACTATTGTTTGCTACTTATTATCAGGCTTATTTTGTTCAGTCCCCAAGTAGAATATGAAGAACTGACACAATGGAAAATAACGGAAGAAAATTATATGAAGAAATTTTTTAAATGATATCACTTCGTACCTTTCTTCCTGGCTCAATGTGTGCCGCAACAAGTACGTTGAAAAAAATTAATGACATTGTTATTTATGTTTGTGTTCGAATTTGAAAAGTAATAATCATGAAAACAAAAAGCTCCAAGGTCGAGTTAAATTCAAAACAACCTTTATCTTTTGTAATTACCGTATTGTCTTGAGTATAGTGCGCACCCATGTATAATGCGCACCCCCCTCTAGCGGGTTCAATATTTTGGAAAAAAATGAAATTTGAATATTATGCGCAGAAAATTTTTACACCGTACCCTTTCAGCGAAGTCCGGCAAACGAACGGGTGCTGAGAAACTTTGTCAGTACAAATTGGAAAATTTGAGATAAAAAATCACCAGACATGTTTATTTACCGTTTAAATAGTATTTATTGTTCTGCTAGGCATTGTTTTATATTTAGGGATTAAGATTACCTTGCGTATTTTCTCGTAAACTAAGCTGGAAACAGCAATCAGCTGTACACACGTTTTCTTGGAATCGACCGGTGATTCGGTCAAGACACACCCAATGATATAACTTTATAAGATTTTTAATGCAAGGATCGGCAACAATTGTATCTGAAACTATTTTATTTATCAGGAATAATATATTCCATTATTTTCTTAATTATATGCAACCTTTACTAAACATATTTAAAATAATAATAACCCTAAGCGAAGCAGCTGATCGTTATTCCCGGGTATTATTTTTTACATGGAACATGTCTCACCAGTCACCGTCAAGGCTCACGCGCACGTGATCACGTGATCGCGGGAATTTCATGTTGACATAGAATCGTCAAACAAAAACAAATATGACTTTTAACGAGTCAAAGTATGTCATTTATGATATATGTATCTGATCCTTGTCATAGCAAACTGGACGTAATCACTTGATGTAATGTAAACCATTTGAGATTTACACGCTGTTAATATCATCACTTTTTAGATTGAAAATTCTTATATATTCTGATATAATTCTTTTTTCTTTTTTTTTGGTCAGATAAAATAGTGTACTTGGTAAGAGTGAAACATTTCCAAATACTGAAAAAAGAATGATGTGACAGTAATATATTGTACTGATTATAACTGAAAAATTATTGGCATTATCCCACCATGCACAAGCATGGAACAAAGTATTTTATGCACAAACCACATTATAAAATGGATTTCAAGTATTTCAAGCTGTTTCATTGAAAACTATGGATTTGGAACATACATTACGATCTCTAATAATTTATCGTTCTGTCAATATGAAATTAATTTGTCAGTACATATTTCTTTCACTTAAGAATTGACTGTCCATTTTTTCCCGGTTCATTGAGGTATGAATCGAAAAAACAAAGTGAAACTGTATGAATCCACGTAGCAGATTTTTACAAAAGATTGCTGGCTGTTTTGTTTTTTCAATTTATACCTCAATGAACCCCCCCAAAAAATCCTTAAGTGAAAGAAATATGTGCTGACAAATTTATTTCATATTGACAGAATGATAACGAAAACATTTGTTAACTACAACAGTTTAACCGAAAAGTTGTATATATCAAAGCAGACAAAAAGGACAAGATTGATAAACCTTCCAGGTGTAGGAATACATACTGTGGCGTGACATGAATCAGGTGATTGTTTAATTTATGCACTTAACATGACACGACCACAAAGTCAGGAGCCAATCAACTGAGAGTGGGATCAAAGCAAAGTTCATAGGACCTGTCAATCAAGGCGAGAGGTGAGAAGAACTGCAACAATCAGACTGTAACAAACCGAAACAAATATGTCCGGGAGAAAGTGGCTGTTTCAAATGACATGGTCAGTTACCGCCAGATTTAAACATTAGTTCCCTCCGAACAGGAAGACACAGTTGGAAAAATACGAGTTAGAAATGTAACCCGAAGACATGAAATCTGTGGAACCCAGGCAGGTGGAAAAAACAGGCCTGCGTGCCTGCATGCTTGCTGTTTCATTCCTTCGTGGCCTTCGAATATTAAATGGTAGTTTGGACAATGAATATGCATGAATTTCGCTAAATGTCCTGTGCATGACGATACACGTGAGCAGAAAGGAAATTCCCTCGACTGTAATATTGGGATTCCCCAACATTCCGCCCTAATAAAAGTAGTCTGCTTCGTTGGGCGTGGCTTCATTTTTTATATTCATTGGGAAATGAATGCAGTAACATGTGACCAATTCAGCCAATCAGAATGCAGGAATTACAATGAACACAAAGGATGATCCAGAATACTTAAAACATATAATAGGAGGGGTACATGTTTTGTATTTCATATATATACTGTATTATACATTTTTACCTTCAGTAAGGGGTAGTTCACATCATTAATTATTATCTTAGTACAGCGAATAAAGTATTTCTTTTAAAAAGCAAATAGTCAGCATACACTTTCAATAGACCCAGAATTCTTTGCTGGTACATTCGATTATTTCCATGTAATCAATAACTGCCAACAGGCATATGGGCCCTCAGTATGTTGACATAAGGCATTAAAATCCTTCAAAGTTTGTCTGGCCTAGTAATAATGATTTGATAGAAATAACGTTTGGAGACAAATCTGTCTCTGCAAGTTTTTATTGTGGCTGATTTGTGATATTGTTCGTGACCACCAAACCTCAGTCACTTGATCCAAGCCCCATGTATTTAGAAGTTCAATTCTACTTTCTTCAAGAAGTGATCATAGTGATAAGAAGAAAGAATGATCTAAGGATAAGGACCATTAGGCTAAAGTGCATTTTTGTTCCCAATACTGACTTAAAAAAACATGTAGCCTTTCTATGTTTGATTCATCATGTACAGAGCTTTTTTTCATAACATGCCAATATGGCTTGTGCTTTAAAAAATAAAAAAAAAACATCGCATGAAAAATCTATACATCTGCTTCCTAAACCAAATTTGGCAGGGGTACGAAGTTAAAGCAATTTCTTTGATGTTGGTTATGAATTCATAAAAAAGCCAGCATTTTTTCTCCAATTGACATTTCTTTTAGAGAGATTTTTAAACAGGTGTAGTTTGACTGGCTAGAGCTATTTGTGGTAAGAAAATACTTTAATGCACTTAAGATTTCATAGAGATCAGCTACGTACAGAAGGGAATGAAAAGTAGTTCCAAAGTGGTTTTACAAGCTTCCTTTTGTAAACATTGTTGCTATTCTTTTCTCTACCATCACTGACCATTATGTTTCTGTACATGACAGGGTTCGAAATTAAGCATGTAAGACAAGGGAACCTTGTTATACTGTTATCAAAGTAAGAAAGAAAAAAGGGGATCCCTACGTCCCCCTTTTTTGTAACAATATTCATTGGGAAAGAATAATATGATGTCACCTTTAGGGCCAGTCCGAATTTACTACCTGGGAACCCAACCCCCTATTACCTGACCCTACCC